GCATGATAGTTGATGAAATTTCCAAAAATTCCAAAAGGTTCAGGTACCACTGTTCACTGACCTTTCTGGGCCCAAGGACCAGCAAATTTCCATAAAATGTACGGAGGACAGGCAGATTTCCAAATATCCTTTCTGTGGACCAGCAAAGTTTTGTTTTAAAAACTAATGGCTGGTATTTCAATATTTCAGCTTATTTTTTGGAAAGTTAAGTTGAGAACCAATAAAGCAACTACAGTGAGACCCCCACATGTGGACGCCTTAACCTGCGGACAATTTGACATAGGGACACTTATTTTTCCAGAAAAAATTCAATAAATTAGGCCCAACATGAGGACGCTGACTCAACATAGGGACATTGTGTGATAAAATTGCAAATACATTTCAGGCCAAATTACAAAAAAAAACAGATATTTCCAACCCTAAAATTTATGTAAGGAAAGTTCTTGGGCACTTCTCTCACCAAATTACCATCCATTTAGCTAATTAAAAGAAACTACCTCCAGCATAGAGGGACTTCTAATTTTTTTACTTGAATGTTATTTTTGTAGATGCCAAAATGTCAGTGTATGGTACAGAAATACACTATTCAATGCTCCTAATGTTCTTGTTGAGTTTAAAATGTATTCACTAATTCAAATTCAATTGGCAAACAATTTTTTTTCAGGGAAGTATGAAGAATATTTCTTCCACAAAACACAAATTGAAAATTATATATTGTAAGTGTCTGGGAAAACAAGACTTGAGTTCGGGACATTTTGACTTGGGGACACTTTTCATGCACCAATTAGGTCCATATCTCAGGGTCTCACTGTATATTATTTGGGACTGATTTTGAAACTCCGGGTTCTGGGTTCCAGAGCAAAAAGTTTACCGGAAGAAAAAGCAGGATTGGCTCAATTTTTTTGGTACAGTAGTAAAGAGCTTTCAAGTTGAAAAAGGGCTGTTCAATGATGGATGGAGATGTGCGTGATTTTGAACAGAGCGATATTTTGTCATTTTCTAGATCAGTGTTCCCAAACTTTTTTGGACCAGCAGACCAGCAAATTTCCACAAATATTTTTGTGAACTGGCAAATTTCACAAAAAAATTTCTGCAGACTGGCAAAAAAGTTTCATAAAATGTTTGCAGATTTAAAAAGTTGTGCTTGAAAGACTTCATGAAAGGCATTTAAAATTTTTCTTGCTTCTTTGCAAGCAGAACATTTTTTTTTTGGAATTTGCTAGTCCAACAGACCCCAAAAAAGGTTAGGCAACACTGCTCTGGAATCTAGATCACCTATTATTCTTCCATTTTCCTGGGCCAAATTGCTATGAACTAGTTTTAATTATCATTGTACACTTGTGCAGTGCACAGCATAGGTGTTCTATGAATATGCCAGAAGCTGCAGTTCTTTACTACAGTTGAACCCTGCTAAACAGACCTCCCGCACAACATACTTCCACACAAAAGACTACCTCTGGAGGTGGTTTTGCTTCCTTTACAATAGACTAAATCTGCCTAGAAGCCTTCTGTTGGTTTAAAGTCAATGGTACAAAGTGAAAAATTATAATTTTTTAATATTTGACTGTGCGTTACAGACCTTTTACATAAATTAAGTCTGTTGTGCAGGGGTTGACTGCATACAGTACTGCTTTTAATAATCCTAGTACTGCACAGTGATGTGGGTATTTCTTTTGGCAACACTTTCTCACAAGCAAAATTTTCATCTCACAACGAAATAATATTCCATTATAATCTTTTTAATCTTAATACGCATTTGACGCAGACGCAGATGATGAAGATAGCTCGAAAATGTCAATGGGTGCTTTCTAATTTGTCGAAGTACTTCAAAGGCTACAGTAGTAGAACAAGAGCCCTTGGCAAATGAGCATCGAGTCTTTTCATTGATCCAACAGTGACCTAAAAAGTATATGACTCAGAAATGCGTGTTGTTCAGGTCTTCATTTAAAAGCACTCATGCAGAAAATTTTTGAACCATTCCCGCAGTCATACTCGCACGAATATTGGATTGACATAATCCATGCAGATACTGTATTGCCATAATCTCAATTCGTGCTCCATTGACCTTTTATCTAATGGCTCAACTTGAACCTTCCAGCAGGGGCTCCGTGGCTGCTTCATGGGGACATACAAATGCATTTTTAAACAAACGTAGAAAACTTTACATTTGTGTACTGCTGTTGGGTCTGCGAAGAAAACAGACGTAGACTTGAGCGTCCGTAATTCGAGGGTACAATATATAATGTACAATTGTACAGTATACGTACACAATATTATAATTTTTAAGGTAGCCATGTTTGAATGAAATGTATACCTAAATAATAAGTAGTGTAGATCCGCAAAATACTCAAATTTGTGTATGTGGCTGTGTTGCCAAATAATTTTTTTTTACATGCACTCTTTTTTCGTGTAAAACGTACAAGAGTCAGCCAAATCCTATGCTTATGATGTGAGTGCGACTAGTGCGAGTTGGTGCTTGTACAGTACATGGATGAACTTTTAAAGCATAGTTTCATGTGCTTCAATCCTATTGATTGAGGGATTATCATGATCAAATCGTACTGAAGAATGTGTCCACGCAAAAATGAGATTTTTGGGCTGTACTTGTCGGGGTATTCCGCGCTTATTGTTGAATCTTGTGAGGATGCAAAAATCTACTCGGGTAGAAATTATGTGTCTCCACTCTCCAGCAGTCGGAAGCTTTACATCGATGCCTATGGAAAGTTCACGTCATATAGGCACTGTTCAACCACTTTTCCTATCCCAATATCACGTTCGCTGCAAGATCACGGTATCGCTGTATGTTGCAATCTACATCGAGAAATGGTGCAAACGAACTTGTATGAGGAAGAAAATGACTCGCGTGGTGAAATCCGTTGGAACGCCGACTTTCGAGATCTAGCGAAGGAACTACAGCACGTTTCGAAGAAACTTACGTTTTTCCAGGTAGATGTCACAGCAGACACCGCGAAACATCTGCCCCGGAATGTATCCCGCATGATGTAGTCTGCTCAACAGTACAGTAGAATTGTTGGCTTTATCCCTCCCGGCTACAGGCGTAATATAATTTTGAAATACTGTACAAGGTACATGTACCAGGATAACGACCGATACCGATACAAGCGTTGTAGTTGGCCATTTCGTGCTTACGGTCGACAATGCTGCACTGTGCAGACTGTATTGATGGATACTGAAAGTATCTCAGGCGACTCTTCTGATCTTCCCGGCCGCGTCCGCGAAGTCCTTCGCCGCAGTTTCCCATCATAAGACTATACACGGGAGAAGCCGAGAATTCTTCATTCGGGGCATACAATACGAAATTCGATGTGTACATTATTCCATCATGTTTTCCGCTCCGGAAAATAATTTTTCCGAACCTTCGGCGATTGCGTCAACCTCGCTTCAAAATTCGGCCGGAAGGGAAGGAAAGCAGTCCCGCACTCGGTCCGCTTCGAACACGCGTATTCAGCAACCCTGGCTTACGTTTGGCGCGAGATGCGTCTAGGGGAGAGAACCCGGTGGATGTGAGCGACCTCATTCTCTCCCTCGCGCCAGTATACGACTCCCCTAATACTCCCGAGGCCCGCGATGATGGTGAGGGAGGGATGGATCCGAAGAATGAAGGGAATAAGGTCCGCAGTACCCTCACACGATCCGAACTTCGGACTGGGTTGCTAATTGTTTTTCTTGTGCAATCTCTCATCTGAGCTTCTTAATCTCAAGAAAGGCATGGCAGTGAAAGCAACTTCCCTGGTTCTACTGGGCAAAATTATTTCAGCATTTATATAGAATTTTCTGCGCTTTTTTACTATGTTAGTCATGAAATCAATTTACTGAAGTTAAACCTGATGTTACAACATTTTCCCAAAGAGCTACCTGCTATCTCCCTCATATTTCCCCCGATAGTGTTTCGTTTTAATGAATATGACATACGGATACTGTATCCAATAGGATTATATTAATTTTCTGCGGATAAATATGATACCTTATTTGAATCCTTGAAAGTCAAAGCCCAGCAGTGTAATTCTCCAAGACTGCACAGTAATTGCATATGAGCTTCCATTCATAAGCAGCTTGAATCATTCCAAAATTCCCTAGACTTGAAAAAATGGCCAGAAGGGGTAAAATACTATATGTTTTCTACAACTGGGGTTGATTGGAACCTATGAATTTCTTGATGGAATGAATACAGGTGGACTCTCTAAAACAGAATATTGGAGACCAATTTTGTTATCGTAGAGACCTCCTTTGAGATGAATAGAGTCCTGTTGGACCAAAAGAAAATGATACAGAGAAAACTGCTCTAGAAAGTATTGTTACCAAGAGAGTCTACCTCAATATCCTTGAATAATTTTTATATTTCCAAAAATAATTATTTTTCCTGATAGATTGATACATATTAAACTGGGGTTTCAATTATAAAGGCCTGATTTAATTGATCTGGCTGGATAATAATCCAGCGACATTGTCTTGAGTGATCAAGTATTTCAAGCAATCAAATACTCTTTTGAAAAGCTGAATACGTTATATGGAAACAATAGAAGAGTGACCATACACATAGTGACCAATGTGCACAGCGACATTTAATAAAGTGTACTATAGAACTCAGATAACAAATCCATGAGAATGAATTAAGACTAGAGTTGAATGAAGTTGAAAATATAATATCGGGTGCATGTGTTTCCAATACATTATTTAAAATTTAAAATGGTTGATCAAATTCTCATGCTCAATCGATTATACTGTACAGCTAGTACAGTATTGTATCACCAGAATTTAACATTATCCCGCAGAACAAATAAATCCATGGTCCCAAGTGAGGGTTCAGTTGGTTACTCCCCACAGTGCTAGCCGCGGATGCGTTCGATGAGACGTGATCGGAGAGAGAGTGGTCCTTGTCCAACGGTGGTCTCATGATGCGGAGCCAAGAGATGGGGAGAGTTGGGAGAAGGAGGGGGGGGGGCGGCTGAGGATGAAATAGCAAATGGGGCGCTGGATAGATGGAATGGAAGGGGACGGGAAAGAAACTGGTGAACGGTGCGAATAAGAAAACGACCGGGGCCCGCGAGTGGCAAGCCAGCAAGCTGAACACCGGGGGGATTCAGGGAAATCCAGTCACCCTGCATGAGGCAGCCGCGTCTTCTACCCGGCGCCCACTTCGCTGCGTTCGGACGCGGATTTCGGTGATGTGTGTGTATGTTTTGGTGGTGTGTGTTGTCAACTGTGTCTCGGTTTCTATCTATTGCGAAAATTTTTCTCCGTGAACCTTTCCCGAAGCTCAGCGAATATTGTGAACTTGCTGGAATCGTCGTCTGACTGACCCTTCTGGATCAGAGCAGTTCTGAGAAGAAAATCCCTTTTTTGGAGTTTTAAGAAGGCCTTGTAGCTGCTGGTGATCAGAATATCACTGGTGATACACAGATCACTTGACCATATACTGTATCGCGCAGCATGGATCTTCGAATTGAAGCCCTAGTCCGTCGAGTGTTGTTTGGAGTGTTGTGTCCATATTTTCAAGTTATAATTAACCAAGTGAGGCCGGAGTTGAAACGCAGCAGTGTTGGTAGAATCAGAATTTTTTCCAGTAAAACACGAAGTCCTGTACTCACAGAGAGGACGTAGTTTCAAGGAAAGTTATTCCTCCGAAGCCAGAAGGCGCTGAACGTGCAGATGGTATGTAGCCAGGTGGTAGGGAAACTCGAAAATGTCTTGAACGTGGACAACACCCGGAAAGTTGGGAAAGCCTTGTTTCACGCCATAAGAATTATGAGTGTTGCACATTATTATCATTTTCATAAAAGAAGATTCCTTTGTTCTGATCTCACGAGACTCAAGATTACCTACACGTAGATAACAAGGTGACGAAAATTCGGCGAGAAAACAAAAATACATTTTGGATGATATTTTGTAATTAACAGAGTTTAACGTTTGATGGCACCTCAGGTTCGCGAGTTAAGTCCATGTTGGATTTTGATTATTGTGATGAAACACAATCGATAGAATATAAATTAAATCTAAATGTCTCTCTCGAAGAATTTCCATCATAATGCAGCATCCAATCGAAGGGTATGGCAGGATGAATCCTTAGGTTTGTTTGAGGTGTTTCAGATAAACTATTAGCGAAACCTGAGTTCAATTGACAATATTTTCTCATTTTGAAGGGAGTGTGTCTTGAATTTAGACATGATCCTGTTCTTGAAGCAAGCAAATAGAGGTGCGTTTTGTAATCGATGGCGGCCTTCGATAGAGGAATTTCTGAATGAAGTGTATGTTATTAAGAACTAGATTCTGTGGTGCAGTTTTTCATGCCTGGGGAATCCAAAAAAAAAAAGCTCTTCAGCATATTTGAAGGCAATATGTGACTATGAGTGAAAAAAGCCGATAATTTGAAGTGAGAAGGGTTGAAACATTTTCCTGGATGAACGGCTACAGTGAATCAGCGTTTATCGAAGTGAATTGCTCGCTAACGTGCGAAGTTTGGTAAAAATTAACGATACCCTGGTATGGAAATACTGTAGGTGCCAAGTCAGGAAGAAAGTCCGATGAGACAAATGAGATTGTCTTTTCGGATGCCTACTTCTACAAACCTTCCAACAGTTTCGAAGTACAGTACTGTAAATACTTGAATACAGTATACGTTCTGATCGCACCATCAAGCTCTACGTTTCTTCTTCATAGTTCTTTCAAGGTTCTTAAGATTAACTGAAATTGGAGAATCCATGATTGTCCATAGTCAGTAATACTGTTCCTCCGTCTTTGTATATCGTACAGTATTTCGTGATGCCGTGTCCCTTTGCTAAATTTTAATACCTATCTGAGTAAGGTTAAGTTTATGCGACGAGGGAGAAGTAAGCTCCAACTGTTGTTTGCTATTCCACAAATGGTAGCAAACCCAGAATGATATGTGAGATATGCAGTGGGTCAGGTCAGGTCACGAGCTGATTGTGGATCGATCGAATCAAAGAACCAGGTTTACCCTTCGAGAATTTTGCACTTCATGTTTTTCCATACCCTTTGCCTCAGGACCCATCGTGGAATGGACATCACGAAATACTCCCTGCAAAATAACTTCTTGAGAGCTGTACTTTAAAGGAAGTGATTTCTAATATGGATATTCCTGGAAGTATGTCCTGATATTAAATCGATTTTTAGACTCCGAGATGGAATTTATTTTTCTGAAGGTAATGATCGGACTAACAACGAATACAGTACAGTACTTCGAAAGAGGAAATACTGTTTTTACAGTACAGTATATTGTTCTTGAAGGCATAAACTCTATGCCTATATTACATATTGTTCTTGAAGAGTTGAACTCGTCAACTCTTCAAGATGAACCGAGCAATTCTTCATTGAAACCAAGTTCTGTGTAATTGTATGGGCACCAAGCGTTTGACGATTAATCGAACTTATATGATCAGTCATGTTCGTTATGTGATGGGATAGAACTCCTTGGATCTATGAGGTGTGATTTTTTGTGGGCCAGGTTGAACCTACTTCAAGTCCTAGTCTAGTTTTCATTTCCGGCTTCGTTTTCTTATTGTGAAACTGGTCGACTCTGATGATTTTCTCTCTACAACGATGATATTTGGTCCGAAGGAGTTCTCCGCCGCATGTTTTAGGGACACCTGAATTTCTCAGCCTAAAATTTTGATTAGAAAACATATCTCCGAACGAGACGTGCACCCACATTTTAGACATTAAAAATGGAAATATTTTGAAAATAAAATAGATCAGATTTTTACATTTTGACTTCGATCGTCGTAACATTGAATTTTGATTTTCTATCATTTCAAATCTTGAATTTTCTATTCAAATTTAAAAAAAAAATCACTGTTGAAATGAAGTATGACATGCCCCAAAGCGTTAAACATTTAAAAAAATTTATCCCTGCCTATGACGCGCACACTCTCTTTCACCCTCAATTTCGAGAAGAGAAAAATATGCGGGCGGTATTTGATTCAATATTGTTCTCTATTTGACTGATTTGGGAATAATTTTGAATTGTAATTCATGTTTTTGACGCTTGAGCATGGCTCTACCGGCGTGTTTCGGTCAAATGATTCACTGAGTTTCGTTTTGGTTATGCGTGTGTGTTATAGTTGATTGAACTCTTCCGGTTATTTTCCGTGGTGGTTTTGAAACGTACCCAGAACTTGTTTCAGGCATCGTAAGACCTGACCAGTCAGTCAATTCGTAAAACAGTTGGTGAATGGAAATGAAGTTTTCACCGGTGATCAAAGGCGTGTTATGGTGACGAGCTCGGGCCTAGTCGAGTTCAGACGGTGGTGACCTCGGGTTAGATTAGTTAAGGTTCCGCGCGTGTGTAAAGTGACGAAGAGGCAGTGCGTTACTTGGTGGCCTATCATCTTCCTGTGTCGGGATTTGGCGTGGTTCTGATTGATCGATTGATTGGGAAAAGTGAGAAAAATTGCTACGAGGCTGGAGATCCTACAGCCTCCGCTTCCGGCGTTCCCGTCCTCGGATAATGCGTTTGTATCGCGGGGCAGCCGACCCATGACGCTGAATGACGTTGAGCACGGCGGCGGGAACCCGGGGTTTTGGCAAAACTCCATGCGAATGCCCAGCACGCCGAGCCCGCGGCTGCCCACGCCGGGGCCAGCTAGCATGCCTTCGATGCCCCCCGGAGGACCCACGACCCCTGGTACCCCCGGGGTCCCCGGTGGCCCTCTGACCCCTCAGCCCCATTCGTCCCCGTCTCCGGGTTACTTTGGCGGTCCTCCGCCGATGAACACGAGTCTCGGCCCGATGTCTGGCGGCGGTCCGATGCCCATGGGCGGCCCGATGCAGATGTCCGGGCCGCCGCAGTACATGCATCAGGGTCCGATGCCGCCACATCCGATGCAACATCACCCCGGTGGGATGATGGGGCCTGGGGGCGGTGGTCCGATGCACCACCAGCAGATGGGGCCGGGTACACCCGGTCCTCCGACGCCGATGGGGCATCATCCTGGCCAGAGTCCCGGGCATGGGCCAAGTCCGAGGCCCATGGGGCATCCCATGGGTCCCATGTCGGCAGGGTCGCCCGTGGGCCCACCGCATCCGAATATGCCGCCGAACATGGGGCCGAATATGGGGCCTCAGATGGGCATGCATGGGCCTTATCCGCCGCCTCAAAGGTGAGAGACTCTTGGTTGGAAGAGTATTGTGACGAAGGACACCGATTGCGGGAGAAAAAAAGAAAAAGAAAGAGAAAGCCATGAGTGAATTTTTGCATTAACGTGTAGAGTGCAGGTGGACACACTCTCCCTGTACAACGATCTTGTCTACACCGATTTACTCGATACAGTATAACAATTGTTTTTGTCCCATAGGGTTGTTCTTTCCTTACGTCATATGGGTTCTCTACGACTAATTTTCTCTGGTCCCTTGAATTTTGTTGTAGACAGTCCATCGGAATTATTGCACCAGTAGTGACTGTGAGATAAATGAACTGAACAGTACAGTGTGTAATTGCAGTACAGTACAGTAGTTGTAAAAAGCTTTCATTCGAGGCGCGTGTGATGCGGGAAAAACTTGAAAGGATACGTCTTTGAAATTTATCCTGAAAATTCTGTCATGATGCTGTATTTTCAAGCGAAATGGTGGGCTAGTGGGCATTTCTTGTAAAACGATGAAGAACATTCGATTCACGTGCCAGGTGTAACTGTGAATGCATGGGGATGATAGCCTGGTATATCTTCTAGTGAATGTTTTCATGAGATGTGAATGAACCGCAAAACTTCACATGGCATAAAATGAGTGTATCGAAAGCAGTTTTTGGTTTGAGGTAATTTTTGAAGTGGAGGAGACAAGTTAATCCATCGCTAGGAATAGACGCGTCTGCCGTAGAAGGGAAATATATCTTCGGCGTTTTGAGATAAATTCAGCGGATATCTTTAAAATTGAGTAATCGCGAAGTAATCATGGCTCGTATTTCGTACTTGTGTCTCTTCCTCTACCCACGCGGGCAACGTTAAAAACATATTTGAAATGTGTTTCTTATGACCTTTACGCTTAGAAGAGGCACGATTCCGAGGATATTGCCAGTGGTTTGAAAGGAAACGACTTGAAATTTCGGTACAATGCTTGGGTACAATCGGTATGTCAACGAATCCCGTAACTGTATCTGCAATATACATCTACGCAGATGCTCCATCCGAAATGTTCCAAATTTAACTCTGATTTCGAAATTAACTTCGATAACTCACATGCGAGTACTGTATGAGCAAAGCGCGATGCGATTTCTTGTCTTGGCAATTGCTTGCTTGGCAATTGTTCATCAATTGCCAAGCAATTGATGAAAAGTTTGGCAGGGTGAGCACTCCATGAGTTTTGACTTTTTTTTGGTCTGCCGAATGTTTTTCAACTCTATATTCACCGTTACAGCTGGTCTTGGAACGTTTTATATATTTTTCTCTGTGACTTAGTGGAATGAAACTCAAAAGTGGCACTTACAATGAGGAGTAAAAAATGTTGGCCACATAGAACGTGAACTTTTTCTGCAGTGCTGTGAAATGTGCAAATCCGGAATAAGTTGTTGACCTTGGGTACGTCTGGCATGAGTTCCATTCGAAGCCACGAAAACACTAACATTGAGAGAACAACGAATTGGTACAGTATTGATAATATTCTTCATTCCAAATCGTTCGGGAGTATCACTTCTAGTGCAATTTAAATTCTTGGAAGTTTGAAGTTTTAAATTCAGTATTCAGTACTGAACTTTTAAAATTGAATCTTTCAATTCATTCTTCCACGGTTGTTTTCATAATTCCGTTAAGAATCAAATCTGTAATGTTATACCATATGCCTAATTGGGAAGTTTGTGAATTGTAAATTTCTCAAAACTTCGGAAATTTTCAGATTTTTTTCAAGTTCAAAAAAATTGTTCTCCTTTCCATGGCAAATTTTACGATTTTTCAATGACCGAACCCATGATAAATGAATAATACCTGTAGTAATAAACAAGGAATGGAAGGAATTATATTAAATGCCCGTATGGAACTGTGATTTTCTTCAACATCTTGAGGTTTGTATGTTCAAAAATCTTTTTCTGGGCCACCCTGTGTACCCAGTAATTTTTCAATCGATGCTGATTCTGCCCATGACAACGCTATTTCGTTTGTTAAAAATCTCGAAAATGTCGCTTGCTTTCTGGGATCTTTTCCCGAGTAATCCAACACCGTGGTTAGAAGCGGTTTCGTTTTGATCCGAATCTCGGTCGTGGTTCACGCGAACTAAAAAGCGCTACGAACCGTTCTTTCGTTCCGTGTCTTTTTCGCCAACAAGTTGATGGAAGAAGACGCGTGTCCACGTCATGTTTCGTCCGGGCGAGAATCACGTGATACGAAGAATCTCAACATCGAAACCTCTTAATTGTCGTATTCTCTGGTCCATAAAATTAAACTCCGGTCGTGATTGTTTCACGAGATACTGCTGTAGGCGTTCATCGTCTCTACAGAAATTCCCGTGTGATTCCTATTGACTGGACCGAGTTCGTGGGAGAAAATACTGTAATTTTTGTTTGTGTTTAGATATGAATGCTAAAAATCTTGAAAATGGGACGAGTATCAATGAGTTGATTGCAATTTTTATTTTCACGTTCAGGTTCAAGAGTGTTTTTTCTGATGCTTCGATTCCGTTTCTTTCCACAGGAGACACGCACCGCTGTTTGGACAACCTGACTACCGGATATTCGAGCTTAATAAACGGTTACAACAGCGATCCGAAGTAAGTATTCATCTCATTGAGAATCCCTCCGAGTGTCAATAATTTTGAAAAAATATATCGCGAATTTACAGCAGGATATGGATACTAGTAGTTTATGGTGGGATGCATTCGCCACGGAATTTTTCGAAGACGAGGCGACTCTCACGCTCACATTCTGCCTTGAAGATGGACCAAAACGTTATAGTGAGTCAGTCATTCCTTTCTCGCGTTATTTGAATAGGTTCTTCGGACAAGTGTTTGCTGTACCGAATAGAAGGCATCGATGTGACGGAAGAGAATTTTTTTATATGCTCATGTGAGAAACGTACGTTTATGAGCTTCGAGGAGAAGTTTAGCCTGAAGAGCCAGTTGAATGCTTCAATTTTGTTAATGTGTTCGCATCTGTGCTGGAAAAGTTGCTCGCGTCTAAAACAGAGTGCGTTTTCAACATATCCCCAAAGAGAATGAAAAGAAGCGACAGGAAAACAAATCAGCACAGAATATAACCGGAAAAGTATTACTACAAGATGACCCCTGAAACGATTTTGTATGTACAGTACTGTACAGGTATTAGTTATCTTTAGGCTCTGTAAATTTTCGTTTTCTTTCCCTAAATTAAATCTTAGATGAGGCAAGCTTCCGCGACGAATACAAAGTGCATGATTGTCTGACTTCGAGAACTGTTTTGCTGCGTTATTTTCTGGCTATCGTATGTAACGTTTGTTACTGTAGTATACTTTGTACCTAACTTTTCAGTACGCCTGCTGTTTTCCGCTGACGAAGTTTTATGAAAACGCCACGTCGAAAACAATTGAACTTTCCAATCGTAATGATTTTTCAGTGGTGAAATTAGTAAGGGCTACGAAAAACAAAGCGTACTTGATCACAAATACAGTATTGAAAATTGAATAAATCCTCGACTTGAAGTTTTGTTGACGTCTATCGATAGGCGTTTCTGATCGCAGCAAATCTCACCAGAAATAAGTTTCAACTGGAGTGAAATCCTTCCGGCAGTCGATTTGAGCTCCTGTTCCAGAATTCAAGATTTTCGAAAACGTCGAAAAATCGAATAAATTTATCAATTTTGTTGTTGTTTGGATTGCATTTAAACCGTACTTCAGGTAATATCGGTCAATTAACTCAAGCTAGACGTGCTGTAAATCGATCGCGACTAAAATCAATCTGATTCACAATTTGATGCAAGATTAAAGATCACAAAAAAAAAAATCGATGCATCAAATTCATACAGTACCAGTTTCTGCATTCTTCCGGGAAATGAGATTGTAATTCAGATGGTTTTTTGGTTAAAATTCAGTTAACACTAGGATTGCTGGGGTGTCGTGCATCGATGTGAGTAGACGAAGCTACCGACTGAAAAAAAAAGTCCTGTTTCGACTGAAAGATGAAGCCGGAAATGAAGCGTCACGCTAGAAGTGTATTTTCCTTGCAATTCACTAATGCTCTGTTCTCGGTTTCTTCCCTTTGTGATCCGTGTCGCGTTCGCTTCTGTGTCGGGTGTTCCTTGTGTTCGTGTGTGTGTGTGTGTGTTGTGTGATCGGAAAACGACGATGTGGTTGTGATTTTATTTTTCGTGTGTCGTTCCTCGTTTCGGTTGGGATGAAAAACGAAAAGCTATCGGAAGAACTCTGATCCCGCGCTACTTCCGGAGTCTGTTTGAAGGCGGCGTGACGGACGTGTACTTCCACCTGCGGCATCCGAAGGAGTCGTTCCACAACCCGACCATTACCCTAGACTGTGATCAGTGCACCATGGTGTCCCATCACGGGAAACCTTTGTTCACGAAAGTGAGTACCTTTTTTTTCATTTCACGGGGCTTCAAACGTGGAAACGTTGCTCGTTTCGAACGAAGAAGAGGACGTTCTCGAATGCTTGTACCGCACGCGAAAGATGATTTCTAAGAAACAAACTCTGTACAGTTGAACCTCGATAAATCGAACCTCCGTAAGTCCCTGCCTAAATTCCCATATGTAAACGTTCAGTATTGAGAAGCTCCGTTTTTCGAAGGCAAACTTACATACCGTAACTCGAATTTTCTCGGAGGCTTTTTCGGCTATCATTTCATGGGCAGGAAAGAAAAAGACATGAAAAATTTGACAATATGGTTTGAAAGGACGTGAAAGGCTAATTGAGCAAATGAACTCATCCCTCAAATTTTAGCATCACGTCAACTCATGCAAGAAGCAATTTAAGGCCCAGAATATCACCGATTTCAATTTTTCGTGATTATTCTTTCTTTCCCCGACAAAGAATGCTTGTTTCACTAACTCGAAACTTTACGAACTCAACATTTTGTGTTGGTCCGTTGAAGTTCGACTTGGAGGGGTTCAACTGTATTGGCTAAAACTAACGAAGCATTTGTACGGAAGAACAGACTCAAAAAGAGAGGGTAATGAGAAAATGTCCGAGTTGAGGAAACGACGTTGCGAAAAAAATTCATTTTTGGAAATCGATTTCAATCGGGAAGAATAATCTTGAACAACATTTCATGGGAGGAATTTTTACTGCAACAATCACTGCGATTTACAATATCAGTGAATCGGGGGAAACTAATGCAATTGCCTCTTGAATACATTTTGAAAAAAAATTCCGAGAGATGAAAAAGTACGGGACGTGTTTCTATGATTGAGCTGCAATTGCTTTCGTATAAAGTTAACTGTAATTTTAGTCCCGCGTTGGAGAAGCTAATTTCTTCGCGATTCAAAAGAACTTCTGAATTCTCCCTCTCAGCATTTTCTCCGAGGCGGTATTTTATCCTAACGCCGAAAATATAATTTCAAAAATGAATGCTTACCGTATCGACGGGGAAGAGAACATCGATCCTGAAGCACAACACAATTTTACAGCTTTTCGATGAAAAAGAAACTTCGTTAGTGAAGAATGTATGAAAAGTTGGCTTTTATTGCTTCATATACAGTATTCCCTATTTTACCGCGTGTATTGCATGAGATCATTGACTGAAATTTTTGGAATATCGCTTGAGTATTGTACATTATTTCGTTGGTTCTGGAATGCATCCTGGCCCCTCATATTAAAAATCAGATCATGCTTCAAAAGATGATCTTTTAAATTCTCTTCAATTAACTGTTCGAACTAAGGTTACGTTGTGTGACCTGTTGTTTTAATGCTTGCCCATCTTTTCACTTGCTATTTCATACACTAGCGTTTTTGATTTACTGTACGCCCTTCTTCGATAGCTAATAGGGTTCAAGTTCGTGTCGTCCGGTTGAAAAGATTACTTCTAAAAAGACCGAGTCAAGATCACGATTTTTTTCTTCTTGATCATAGTATAGTTCGAAGTCATCGAAGAGGAGTACAGATCTATTTGATTTTCCTCAAGACGGACTGATTCTCATGATTTTATTCTTCGAAATTGAATCGTTGAATCTCTTGAAAACGAGTTGTATTTTTGATGAAGATTATTCTCTCCAATACTGTACGAGCATCATCATTCCTGAAAAAAATTTGCTGTAAATAATACCGATAATGCGCACGATTCTTCGACTTACAAACGAAGGACGTGTTGTTCAGAATTTCATGGATTTCGATCTGTGAGTTAAACCCGATGTTTTTTTCGTGGGAATCCCGACGCTATGTGAGTAACTGATACCGTGAAAGCACAGAGGAATTTTTTCCGGAGAAACTCGATCACATGGAAGCGTTTAAGACTGACGTCCCCAACGTATTTTCCATTCCTGGAACTCGTTCGTCTCGAAAATGTCGCATGAAGCGATTAACCATGTAAAATTCGGGGTTTTTGAATTCTTGCGAGTTTGAGGCGTGATTCGGTTTATGTTCTCTGTAATAGTGTAATGCGTCTCAGAGTGATCGCTACAGAAAAGCCCAATGTCCCCGGGATTTGAATCAAGCGTCGATCGGATTAATGCTGGTTTTCATGGGAATTTCTCGAGGTCAGGGGAATTTTCTTGTTGAAAATTTTTTTTGTGTACTTCGCATCTGGGCGTCGTTCTTGAGTCACTGAGTCTGTGCGATACAGAATACGAGATATGATATTGAGTTTACTTTTAGCTTTCGCTATCGCCACTTGGATCCTAGAAATGAGCCACAGAAATGCATTGTGAACACCGAGGATCATCTTATTTAGATTAACTTTCCGCCTTTGTTTGCATCAATCGTGGATTTCAGAATCACCGAACTATTTCTGGTCATTTTTAATGCGTTTTTCGATGTCCTCTTGAGAAGATTAATGGGAGTCCGGTTTGTGTACTTGTGATGATTCCGAGCAATTCAAGGGAAACAATGAAGATGTCTTGTCTTGTCGGATATACACTTGCATTATATAATTAGCTGATTGACCCTCATTTATGGTTCAAAAGGTGAACTCTGTAGTGTTGATCTTGATCAGTTTTGTCAGAGTATGTAAAAAGTTAGAATAATCAAGTTACAGGTTGTATGAGTTGGCTTGTTCTGGCCGAAAACCTCAGCAAAACATGCATTGTCTTGGTCAGATCAGTCGAGTTAAACTATAATACAGACCAGGACATTTGGGATTCGAAGTAATTCTGTGCTTCTTCAAAGTGCAAAGACTTTCAAGAAGATGGCAAATGTCAACCCTCACTAGATGGCGTCTTCATCCGTTAGAATCTTCTGTTTTCCTTTCTCTCGCCTCTTTGAGGATTTAATTTTCTGCGTCGTCAGTTTTCGGCGCGTCTATGCCAACGGATCGCGTCCGTGGGTACCTGGGTTATCTGGGATCGCGTTCGTCGGGTCCCGCATCGAGCAAACAGCGCGGAATCGATGTCATCCGTGGGATTTTCCTCAAGCAAAGAAGCGAGGGGGAAATGCAACAACAAAAAAACCGGCGTTTCGTGTTTGTGTCTCACGACGACGAGTGACGAGTGGTGCAGAGGAAAACGACGGGTTCACCCCGTTTTCCGAACGAGGCGATAATGTGATAGGGCGGGACGAAATGAGAGGAAGCTCTTGGAAAATTTAGCGTGTAAAATCGATTGACCTTTTAAATGCTGTTCGCCTTTGATAGTCGTTGGGAAGAGCGGCGAAATGGATCAGATTTCGTCGGTGAAAGTTCTTTGACTGCGAAAGTATTTTCTGCTCGTTTTGAAAATGATGGAATGTCAAGAATAAAAAAAAAATAGTTTCATATACTGCTCTGTAAGCTGGAAATCCGGAAAATGTTGAAAGACAGACTTTTTGAAACTTCCGTTTACCGTTTCCTCTAAAGGAAGTACTGTACAGCAAAGCGAAACGCTGGCTAAGATTATCAGATTTCCGAATTTTTATGCTATCACTTGTAAAGGGAAGCTAGAATTGAAATCACGGGTGAAATCGTTGGACATCGTCTTTTTCTTTTCGAAGGTGCGAAAGTTTGAAGGCGAAAAAACGGATCAGATCTCGTTGGCTGATTTTATTTCGAAACAAAATTGCGCGGAAATTCGCTGTACAGCTATCCATTGAATTTAGTGCATTTTTTGGCTTTATCGTTCGCTCTGTGAAGCTTAAAAACCAGATATCTTGCAAAACTGAAGTCTGCTTAGTCTTAAGTTTTTACATTGAAATTGAAAACGAAACCGGAAGATAGCAGAAATGATTGAAAAATAAAATGTTTTCAAATTGAATTTTTCAACTGTAAATCTGAAAATCGGAAATTTACAACTAATGCTCGTCAATTCTCTTCACAATTTCCGACTCTGAAGTAAGCCTCGTCTTGGTCAGGTTTAACCAAATGTAGTGTACAGTACTTATAATTGCTGTAGTATTGTATAGATATTAATTGTTAATTGTAGAATTGCTCATAAATCCGAGTAAGTGTGTGGCTATTTTAGAGTTTTGGAAGGGGGCGGCAAGTTTACGATATTTCACTTGTCGAATATGATCGATCGATGAATCACATCAACCATCTTACAAAATCAAATGATAATCCAAGGATTCACAAATAATCCAATTTTTACGTTTCGAATATTGTACTGTACTGTACTCTGAACTCCGCTCAATTAAATGTAAACTTCTTTGAACCCACATTGCGCAAGAACTTCAATTTTCCGACGAGATCTGTGACTGCATTTTCGTTCCCCGATTTTAAGTATAATTTCCTGATCAGTTACTCGTGTCCATTAACTTGACAAAACCTGCTTTTCTGTTTAGTAAAAGTAATGAGTCCAGATAATTTATGGTAGAAAGAAGATCGAGTATCCGATTCTCGCAAGCAGTTCAATTTATCTCACTTTCGGACGCCGTATATCATGTGAGCGTTTTAATATTTTAGATTTTGATGATTAGATCATTCTACGGTGTTGTCCGATGTTAAAAATTACTCGAGTCTGGATCATTGCCTGTCTTCCAAATTATATCCAAGTTTCCATCAAATGAACTTTTCTTATGGCGGACGAAAGAAAAAAAAGTGCTGCAGTACTAGTAGAGTACTCATCACCTGGACCATCGGAGGCGTGTCTTCAAGTGAGCAAATGATGCCGATTTTTCTGCGAAGTATCCATCCTCAAATATCGATTAAAACCCGCTCAAGTCATAACTCAAAATCAAATCTAGGAATTTTTGCGAATGGTATGGAAAAATGCAAAAGTGAGAATATTAAGCGAAGATCTGGAAAGGGCCTGAAACTCAAAATAGATGTTTTTTTTAGTAGATTGAATAACCTTTTTGATCGTGTTAGCTGAAATCCTGAAAATGCATGAAAATTGACGATGAGTATGTCACCGAAGAATGAAAATCTCATCGGTTTCTGAAGAGTGTGAAACATGTTCCCGTAAAAATCATATTTTTTTCAAGAGACAGTTCGTCGAGAGTTGCGGTATCATGTTTACTTGCTGGAATGTTGTCACTCTTGTATTTTGAGCATTTATGCCCACAAGAGAAAAAACCGTGTTGTACTGTACTGTATTTACAAAATTTGGAAACTTCCATGGGTGATGCTATACTGTATATACACAAACCAAACCTGCAATTTTCTCCGATGAATAATTAAAAAATAAAGAACGTACAGTATTTGGTTTGTGGGACGAACATATGACCTGCGAAATTCCCCGATCAAGGAGAATGAATATAAAATTCAACTACAGCATCTGCTTTAGGTACTGTATTTAGAATCCCGAGGATTGTTGTGTTGCCTGCTCTGGTATAAGACCTCTGGAAATGAGACCGTTTAGCATCATTTTTCAACGCTACAGTTGAACCTGGGTAACTCAAACCTTCCAAAGTCGAATGCTTTCCCATGTCGAATGTTTTTCAGGTCCCTATCTGTATTCCTTTAGAACACTGAAAATAAAACCCCCATTACTCGAAGGCTTTCGCCGTCAAACCTCCATAACTCGAATTTTCTGGAGGTTTTTTGGTTATACAGTAACTGTATTTCATCGTCACAGAAAATAAAAAAGCAATGATTGAGTAATTGTATGCGTTTGGAAATGGAATATGAACACTAATTCGAGCATCCTGTCAAACCATTCAAGAAAAATTTCAAGCCCAGATTATCCCCTATTACAATTTTCTGTATTTCTCCTTTTTTTCGCAACAAAAAGGCTTGTTTCGCTAACTCGAATTTCTTTGCTGGTCCCGGAAGTTCAACCAAAAAGGGGTTATACGCTGTACTACGAGTCTATGCCGATGCACCCAGATATTACGCAGGTTAATGAAAAAATGCGGCCTACATGCGCATGAATTAAAAAAAATCAAAGAAAAATAAAACGTCTGCTGTTGAGGTTCTTGGATCGGAGAGGAAACCCCCTGACGTCGAAGGGGGAATCCGTGTTGGCACGAGTTGGACGTTCAACGTTGTATCTGTCGACGTCGGCGCGTATTGTGATTCCGGTTGTAGGGAAGTGACTAGAGAGGGGGGAGAGAGAGAGAGGCATTGAATATTTTATTTTTATTTCCCTCTTTTCTTTCTCCCCTCGTCGCCGACGTCAGAATCTCTCCGATCTCGTCGCGTCGGCGAGTGGTCCAATCCGTCGACCCGAACTAGCCGTCGCATTCTTCTTTTCCCCCCAACTCGTGGCTGGGGTCCGACACCACCCTGATGAATAACTTCAGAATGCGTGAATTTTTTTCGTGCCGTGCTGGTGGGACAAACCCTGGTGTGTGAGGAGAGAAGAGGGGAATCCACACGCGATGGAACCCGTATGTAAAGCGTTTTGAACATGCGATTTTGCCGATGGGCCGCATCTGGATTTTGTGAAGCACTTCGACGGAGAGGGGCTGCGAGTTTGTGGAACCCTTTCTGTAGAAATCCGATCTGCGAAATTTCACGAGAAATTGTCAGAGAAAAAATATAAGGTTTTTATCTTTAATTTCAGATATTTTCAAGTGCTACGTAACGTCTTCACTGTGGGAAATGTGTCGAAGTGTTTGAGCAAAATTTGTTTCTTATGTAAACAGATGAACTCTCTCTACAACGAAAGTCAAGGGACCTGAAAAAAAAATCGTTGTGGAGAACCCCCTAGATTACATGGGAGAGAATCCTCTGGGACCCAAAAAAAATGTTTCGTTCTACAGAGAAAATCGATTTGTAGACAAGATCGTTGTCGAGAGAGTCCAACTGTGATGCCTTAATACTGTAAGCAGTTTTATATTGTGCATCCGAGTTTTTCATTGCATTTTTCAAAAAATTAAATAAAAAAAAACTTTACGACGAAGAAGTAATTTGTTTTTTTCCCGCTTCAGTCACGTGAACTCGTCATGTAAGGAAGCGCCTGTGTTTTTCAGAGAAATTCCCGCCGAATTCCATTTATTTATCCTTTGACGAACCCAACACATCTGGAATTCTGATTTTGTAAACTTTCAGTTTTCGGCGTGAAGGGACTCATTTATCTTTTGGAGTTTCACGTTTTTTTTTAAACTTATGGCGGAAAACATTTATTTTTAAAGTAAAAGGTTAGATTAATGCATAGTTCTGAATGCGACTGATCCAGCGAGTTTTGACGAAAGCTGTCAATCCGACGGGAATGGATGACCCAATCTTTGGCAGTCTTCGTTGCTCATTGTTGAACTCTACGATCACATATTATCCCGTGGGAGGGGGGAATTTCGCTGCTACGAGTAAAAGACTGTATGTGATACATGTTGAGAATTTCAAGAATCTAATCCTACCGCGTACTCGTATATCGGATTACTACTGATTCAAAATTACCGTTCTCTCTTCTGGCTCTCATCTAAAATGTTGCGTTCAAGGAGAGACTGTTCTTTTTAAAATCTGTGTATTCTTCTGTTTTTCGAATGTTTGGGTGTCTTTTAAGCAGTCAAAAAGCGTACTGTAGGTGCGTTGTCAACAGTTTTTTGCAGTGATCAATCGGACAAGAGCCCTGGATTGAAGAAATAAAGCCCTCTTAATGCAACATTGAAAGCGTGAGATAAAAAATAGCATCATGTCATTATTGGGAAAAGTCCCTCCTTGAGAACTCTTGACTGTTTTTAGAACATTTGAAGAATTCCAAGTTCTACAAAATGGAACGCTTATGTTCGCAATGGTGATGGTTCGCGTAGTTACTGACGACGAAATGCCTCGTGATTTTCACTTGGCACCATGGAAGAAAAAAGTCTGCCTCATTTACTCTGAAACCGTAAATGTACTGTAGCCGTTTTTATTCTAAAATATTTCAGACTGTCTTCTTACCTTATTCTTGAAACCGGAAAAAAGTGGTATTTCGGTGCAATTCAAGTACGATTGATTTTCCTTTTGGATGATTTTCTTTAAACAGATCGTTGGGGAGCATTTAATATTTGATGAAATTAGATTTTAATTGGGAATGCGGTGATCAACTCGAGTTTTTTTTTTCATCATTCATGTACTGTACTCAATTTCGCTTTGAGATTATCCCACAAGAATATACCCTGCTGTTATCTCGACACAGAAGCGACGAATCCC